AACTACCCTACAAGTTCGTTTTTCTTCCTATCCTCTTCAATTTCTCTTTAATTTCTTGTAATTCTCTTGTTAATTGTTGCAAATTGATGATAATTGTTACATATTCGCTAGATTATATGAGGATTAGGTGCTAATTTTTCGACTTTTCTTAGGGTCGAAGCACCAAACGTTTGCGCACAAGGTCCCATATCGGTGAATCAAGCACTACCCAAGAGGAACGATTTGTCTCTTCGTTTGTATTTCCCGGAGGTGATTCCAAACGCCTTTTCTACAGTGATTTTTTGAATCGTCCAATTCTAACGCCCAAATCCGTTCTTCACACCGTATTTTGTCATATACTGTTCAACGATGCTACTAGTTTTGTTGATAGACTCGGTGTCACTTCTTTTATGCGTAAAACATTTGATGTCTATTGTCCGAATCTCATTCGCTTGTTTTATGCAAATCTTACTTTCAACGGACGGGTTCTCAAATCCTCTGTCAATGGCACCGACATTGAGATGACTCTCAAGGATATTGGTGAACTTTTTAACTTTTCCTTTGAGGGTTGTGATTTTCACAAGTTCACATCTAGGGAATTCAAAACTTTTTCTCCCTACGACACTATTACCAAGGTTTGTCTTGAAGACGTTCTTGGGCGCGAACATCTAACTGTTGGAGCTCTTAAGCCTCATTTTCGTATTCTTCACTACTTCATTTTGAAAGTATTAGCTCCTCGCAAGTCGAACCATTCCAAAATACTTTCATCAGACACTCGTCTTCTTTTTGTTTTTGTGAAGAATATTAAAATCAATTAGGCAAAATTCTTTTGCAATCACCGTCTTTCAATGAAATCAAAGGGATCTCTTGGGTATATGGTTCTGATTATAACCATTTTGAGCGCATACAAGGTTCCGTTGATGAAAGACATTCACGTCAACAAGAACCACACTTGGTACATCGACGTTTCCACATTCAATCGCTCAAACGTACCTAAGGCCGTGGAAGGAGGAGGAGGAGGAGGAGAAGAAGAAGATCAAGAAGAAGAAGATGAAGAAGAAGGAGAAGAAGAAGAAGAAGAAGAGGGTGAAGAAGAACACGATCCGGAAGGCGAACCAGCACATGTCCAAGATATTGTGCCATTCAAGCCTCAAGTGGAATCGAGTCGGCGTTCCTCTCCTTCTCGGGTGTCACACTCAACTTCATCACGTCGCGCTCATTGGTCCATCCTTCAAAGGATCTTGGACGTTGTGACTTGTACTCGCACGGATGTGGCGCACACTCGCATGGAAATGACCATGCAAGGACATCGTCTCTCACGCCTCTAGCAGCGGATGACGGAGCTAGAGCGATGACTATATCTCGGACCGCGTCACAGTTACAGCGGGGGACCCCGGCCGTTGAGCTCACTTTGACTTCTTCCTCTCTCTTTTTATAACTTATTATACATTGTTCAATGTTATTTATGACTCTTTTGGTGGATGATGATGAAATTTTTATTTATGGATCATGTCAATTATTAATGTGTATTGATATTATTGTTGGTTTGGCAATATTGTTCTTTTTAAAGAACATATTGTCCCTTTGTGGCACATTGTTAGGAGTTCCCTTTTAAAGGAAACTCTTCCAAAATTCTTGGACTATCCTTCAAAACCCCGGCATCGATTAAGGGGAAAAGTTATCGGTTGATAATGCCAAAAGGGGAAAGGAAGGATAGTTGAGAAAACTTGTTTTTTCAAAAACATTTTTCCACTTATTACTCCGAAATTTTTTTGTGCACTTCTCTAACCATGCATGGGGAATTTAACTAAGGGAAGTATTTCTTGAACTTATACTTTGCTTTTTCTCAACTATGTTTGTCATTATGAAAAAAGGGGAAATTGTTGGACATGACTTCAGACCCCTTTATTATTTTTTGGAATATTTTTGGTTTTGATATATGACAAACAGGATGATTAAATTCAACGATGATCGAAAATTTATTTTTTCGTATCGAGAAAAGCAAAGAGGCGTATCAATAAATTTACGGCGATAAAAATCAACGCTCACCCTACGCAGATTTTTGAAGTGACGTGAAGATTCTGAAGTCTTTTTATTTTGTATTGAGTTTAGAAATTCTTGTAAGGATGACAATAGTTTTTGCATAAACAAATTATTTTTGAGGGATAAAAATTATAATTTTCTAATTTAGTTGAAAAATCATTTTTCTCTGCCTAAAAATAGTTTACTGAGTCAGTTTCAAAATAGTGTGTCAAAATTTCTTAAAATATTTTTTTAAGGATACACGAAATTTTGTGCTAAGAAAAATACTCTTTAAATATTTTTCGTGTACATCGTTTGACACACAAAATATTTTTGGAACTCATTTTTCTACACCAAAAATCATTACTTAATTCAAATTTTGAATTTGAATTAATTCTTTTCAAAAATTTGTGAGTTGTTTGATTTTGGGAGCCTCTTCAACATCAATTCTTGTCTAAAAACAAGTCATTAAGCTCCAAATGTAATCCCACTCGCACACATGTTTTGGGTCCTCTTGTTTGGGCTTTGTCCGTCAGTGGATTGATCCTCTTCTTTGGATCGATCGCCGTGTTATGTGCTCTGGGAATTGGATCGATCCACTCATCAGGATCGATCACATTATTTTCAGAAATTTTCTTCAAAGGATCGGTCATCCTGCTTGGATCGATCCCCTATCACGTTGTCAAAAATATTTTCCAGAATTTTGACTCTTGACGATCGATCCTTTGCCCTGGATCGATGCCCCATGCTTTTGACAGAAATATATTTTCAAAAGTTTACTCAAGGTGTTAGGTCCTTTCTTCTGGATCAATCCCCAACGCTCCAATCTGTCAAAATCACTTCTTCCCTACCTCCAACGGATTTATTTCTTTTAACCCTATAAAATCCCTCATCCTCCTTCATTAAAAATACATCACTTGCACTCCAAACCTTCATTGCTCAATATTCAATTCTTGCTTCCATCTTCCTCATCAAATATATTATTTTGAAAGTTAGAAATATTTTTATTGAGTGCTAAAGATATTGTCATCTATAGAGCTTTCATATTTCAACACTTGCTCAATTGTGTGAGCTTTCGTTTCTGTGTTGTAAACTCAATCTTGTTTGAGTGTTGCTAAGACTTGTGTGATTCAAGTCTTGTTGGTTGTTGTTAAGACTTCTGTGACTCAAGTTCTCGAGTTGTATCGGTTTTTCAAGCACCCGTTGAAGCATGAAGTTTAGTAGAACCTTTGAGAGAGTCTCTCGGAGGACTGGACTAGCCACGAGGTGGTGAACCAGCATAAATCACGGTGTACTCCTTTCCCTTGCTCTTTACATTTTTCCTGCGATTTTTCTCTTATTATCACACACGTGATTTACGCACATTCTAGCGAACAACTCTAGTCACCCCCCCTCTAGAGTTGCACTTTTGTCTAACAGAAATCAAATGAAACACATGTTAATGATATTCTTACATTTGCTAGGAGAATAGATGTAACCGATAAAAGATATTACATGCCTAAAACTCAAAGAAGAGTACATGTAGGTAGTACATAAATGATTGGCCAAAATGGTAAGACTCTGAATGTTGGATCTAAGTCACTCGATAAATAAAATATTTTCAAACCTGTAGTTCAAACATCCATATACGTCAAACCAATAGTTATAAATGGGCATCTGCAATAAACAGAAATAAAATGAATGAGATTGTGCGATATAAGGCATGACTTTTAATGCAAGGGGTTTTCCAAATCCCAAGAATTGATTATGAGGAAATGTATTCTCCAGGAGTGGATGCGATAATCTTTTAGAATTTTAATTGGCCTCGCAATCTCAAAAGAACTTCAAATAAATGATATGGATGTCATCACAACATACTTATAAAGGACACTTGAAATTGACATGTGTGTGATAATAATCCCTGAAGGGTTCAAAATGTCAGAAGTAATAAAATTAATACATCGAGATATGTGTGAAGAGATCGTTGTATGGTCTCAAGTAATTTGGCCATATGTGGTACAATTTACCTAGTAAATATCATGAAAAAGAAAGATACAAATCTAAAATCAACTTATATGTTGTCATTAAAAGATGACTCTCAATATTCGTTATTATAGCAGTTTACGTCGAAGTATAAATATCATTAGATCTCCTGAAAAGATAAAAAATGAAATGAGATTTAATATAAAATAAGGGTAAATTTGGATATTTTTACAAGTTTTTTTCGACCGAGGATAATTTACTAAATGAACACCTATATAAAGAAAAAAAGAGTAAAAGTTTGGCACTCCTATTTAAGGAAAAGTAATACTCTCTCTGTCCCTATATAATTATATTTTATGCAAAAAATAAATAAATTTCCACGTTTTTCAATTAATTTTATTTAAAGATCGGTTTACAAATAAAAATTAAAACTTAAATATTTAAAAAATACATCAAAATTTCTATTAAACAAAAGATGAGAAAAATGTTTTATTTCATCAGATAGATAATGAGAATACACAAATAAACAAAATCTCCTGTAATTTTTTAATTAGTGAAGTGTATAAATCATTTAGGAACGGAGCGAGTAATTATTCGAAACATTTTTTCTTAAGGATTAAGCTATTTGTACCGCAATTTATACACTATACACCACAGGTGTACATCTTCATTTCGTGCTAGTGTGATGCTAGAGTGATAGTTCAGACAAACACAAAATGTTAGTACAAATCTTATACTCCCTCCGTCCTAAAACTTTCTTCCCATAGCACTATTCCAACTTCACGGAAATTTATATTTATTTGTGTTTTTTCATGGCTTATATGATAAAATAAAATATTTTTGTCACCACTTGTTTTGTTAAACTTTTGATGTAGTTTTTAAATATGTATGTTTTATTTTTTATTTCTATACCAATATTTAAATAAAATAGATTGAAAAAAAATGAGATTTTTCTTCGTTTTGCACAACGGGAAGAAAGTTTTAGGACGGAAGGAGTATATATCTTTAATGTAACTTTGGAGTACACACTTTTTTGTGCAATTGTAGAATGATTATTTTTATAAACTCAAATAAAATTCAAGAGTTGTGGTTGCGGACATTACACAAACTACAAAATGAGGCCAGACAGTGCCACATGCTAAGCACACAACCCCAGTCAAAGGACGAAATGGCACCCACAGATCCTTTCCTACCCATGTGACATTCCCACCCTTCTTCCCATTCTACCCTTAGATTCCATCATCATCTGAATTAATTTACATAACCGAACACGCATTTGGGTTCTCGTCACTGAACATTTGTGGGTAACCCCCATAGCCATAGCCATGGCCATGGCCATGCCCCTCTTGATGTGCAGCAAACCCTTGTTGGGGAATAAGTGGATGATTGACTTGGTAATAGTGGTAGGCCTCATATTTTCTCAACTCCAACTTTGGGTCTTCTTTACCCTCCTCCTCTAGTTTAGCTCCGGTACAGGCGGCGCCGCCACCGGCGTTACTCTCCTTCTTCTCTCCCTTGTCATCGGTGGCTTTCGATTCCTCCTCCTCCACCGCCGGCTTCTTCTCTTCCGTCTTCGGCTCTGCCTTCACCACCACTACCCGTTTCCCGGTCTTCTTCGCAACGTAGTCCGCTAAGGTCTGTGGATCCAACGCGCCATTCACAGTCACCTGCGAGCTCTTGAAGTCCGGTTCTACACTCTCCACGCCTGGGATGCAGTGAATTTACAGTAATTATTAATTAATGAAAAAATTCTCATGGAGTCTTAATCAGATAAAGATTCCTATAACTTAGGCTTTGAATCCCCTAGATCTCGACAGAGTAGTTAAGAAAGAATATCTTATTCTAGTCAAAGTTGTGAAAGGTTGAGAATTTAGAATCATTAAAAAAGACTTTTTCCATCTTACGGAGTATTATAGAAGTAGTAGTGCATTAAAATAAAACAAGGAAAGGAATCATCACTCTTTCTTGTCTAGGAGAACTAAAAAAGAGTCAATTCCATAATTAGTCCATTATAATAGGGGTTTCCATATTTAGTCCTCTATTATTAAATATTACTTCCGTAGTCTTTTATGGGTGTCTTTCCACAAATGATCTTTTTTTGATATTCTGCCATGTTGATGTTAATTTCAAGGCTAAAAATATAACTTGGCATCAACTTTATGTCCAATAAAGTATTCTGATATTGGTTAGACAAATAACACAAAAATAATGACTATGATTGTGGGCTAAGATTCTGACAAAAGACCACGTCTGTAAATTATGGTTGTACTAGAGAGCGATTATAATTCACAAACAACACATTAAGAACGGAGTTAGGATTGTGAATGACAAGAAAGATATATATTATCATTGTGAAATTACACTTTTAACTATCAAATTAACACCAACATGATAAAAGATGAAAAAAGAACTATTTGTCGAAAGGTACACATAAAAAGACCAGAGTAATGTTTGAAAATAGAAAAACTAAATATGGAAAAGAACTAATTATCGAATTACTCATTACAAAAAGTAGAAACAAAATGTGTATAAAAAAGCACACCTTTCATTTTCAAAATCTTCCTTTTGATTGCTTCAGCACAAGCCTCACAATGCATGTGAGCTTTCAGAACTACTGCAAACACCTGAACATACAACCAAAACCGTTTCCTTTTAAGCCCAAACCAATTTGTTAATGAGTATTAGGCCTATAAAGAGCTCTATGAACAATAGAATCCAAAGGGAAGGAAACACATGGTGTTATTAATCTGATGAACCACAACCTCTGGTTTTTTCTCCTCCGGCTCTGGCGGCTTCAGGGGTTCCTCCGCCGCCGCCGGCTTGGGGATGGAAGATATGAGCTCCACTTGGCGGTGGCTCTTCCTCTGCAACCTTTCTAGCACCTTCAGTGGATCTGCCTTTTCCCCTTTCACCACAATCTTATGGGTCTTCCAATCCGTCACCACATCTTCAACCCCTATACCGAGAAACCACAGAAACAAAGTTTACAATTAAAATCACCCTAGCTCTGCCTGGATATAATAAATAAATCCCAAATTAATTGAAACGGCATTTATCAAATTATAATTAACCTTCCAAATCTTTAAGACAGCGGCGGACTTTCCGAGCGCAGCCTTCGCAATGCATGAAGACTCTCAACACAACCTCTTGACGCGGCGGCGCTTTGGATTCTTCCGCCGCCTTCTTCTCATCTCCGCCAGCGGCGCTGGGCGGATGCTCTGTCTTTTCGGAGGGCTGTTTCACTTCATCCGCTGGTTTCTTCTCCTGTACAATTCAAAGCAAAAGAAATCAACTTAGCAATAGAGATAGAAATGGAGAAGAAAAGAGATTAAATTAATTACATTGTCCTTTTACCTCTCCCATTCGAATCTGCAGAAAGCTCAGGCTACCTATCTCTGAACAGTATATCGCCGTTTCTCTCTCCTCACACTTTCTCTATCTAGTCTAGAATATGGGGCTACAAAATGACTCCACTAGATTGGGGGAATCCATTTTGTTATAGTTGGCCGATATGGACTCAAAATTTAAGAACAATGCTAGGGCTACACCAAAGGTGTACCCCAAATGTACACCACCCTCTTTTCCATTATCTATTTTTATTTTATTTTTATTTATTTATTTTTTTAAAATTTATGCCTTTTTTTGTGGACAAGGAGGGGTGGGGGACAAATGGGGTACATATTTGGTGTACCCTTAGCATTTTTCAAAATTTAAAGATCCCTTCGACCATCTCCAACTCATAGTGGAAAAAGTGATAGTGTGTTAATAGTGTTTTACACATTCAATTTTTTATATTCACTCTAATCACATATTCTATATAATACATTTTTATAATATTTTGTTATTTTAAGTTATTTATTTATAATAAATATATTTCATTTTTGGTTTAATTATAATCACATTTATGATGTGCATAATCTAACCAATCTATTAATAATATTTTAATATTATTTAAAACTAAATATTGAAATATTTATTTAAGCATTTGGTTTGCACCATCTTGTATATATACATGTTGAGAATTGCTTTTTCCACTATAGTGTTTTTTAGCATTTGATTTACACTATCCATTGGAGTATTAAAAAATGAATAGTATATTGCATATAGTGTAAAATTTAATCATATACACTATGGGTTGGAGATTCTCTTAGGGTACACCAACATCATATACTTTCTATACTACTTCTACACTAGCCTTGTTTAGAAATAAGTTTTTTTATTAGCGTTAGTGTTTTAGATCAAAATTTCGTGGTCTAAATTAGTTCTAAAAACACATAAAACTATTATTGAACTTTGGAAGTAAATGACTTGCACCGCCTGTATAATGTCCAGAGCATACTTGCATTGATTTAAGACCATACCCTCTCGTGAGCGAGCACATTTAATGCGCAAAAATAAGAAACAAAACCAAGGTCCTTTAACTAGAAACAATCATGGAGATGCTTTTTAAAGGAGGTACACCATGCTCTACTATTGCCTGCAACAAGGATATCATCAACGTACACAAGAACAACCAAAACATCTTGACCCCAACGACACACAAATAAGGTGTGGTCAGTGTGGGCCTGGCGAAACCCGTACACGCGCAGAGCCTCACGAAGTTTGCCAAACTAATTATGCAATGACTGTCGCAAATCATAAAGCGATTAACGAAGACAACATACTTTCCTTAGATAGGATGTGTACCTAGGTGGAAGCTTCATATAAACTTCCTCAACCAGATCACCATGAAGAAAAGCATTATTTGCATCCAATTGATGAACCTCCCAGTCTCGAGCAACAACAACCGATAAAAGAACATAGACTGTGACCATTTTGGCCAACAGAGCAAATGTATCAATGTAATCAACACTAAATTCTTGATTATTACTTAACACAATTGATAAGTCGGGTTTGTGTTAGTTCTTTTTATTTAATTTTAGGCATTTTTAATGTTTTTAGTGTTTAATTTTTAGTTGTTTAGCTTAGTTTTATTTTAATTTCTATTTTTACAATCTTTTAATTTTCTTTCAAAAATAGTAGTTTTTTAATCATTTTTATACATTCTATTATTTTTTATTTTTCCCTAACCCAAAATTATTAGATATCTTATTTTTTGGAGAAAATATAGCAGCCAAAGACCAAAAATGCATGCAGTTCAAGTTTGGAAAAAAGACTGCATTTGGGCCGAAGCCCAAACCATCATCAACAACAAACCCAGCCCAACGCTCCTCTCCTCTTCAGTACGGCAAAAGAAAAAAAAGAAACGGAGAATCGACTTCTCCATCGCGCAACAGGAGGAAGTGTAACGCTCCAACGTCTCTCACCTCTTCTCCAACATCGGCCATCAATTTCGTCATTCAATTCTCCAACGGGAAGAATTTGGCACTTCCATTCTATAAATTGGAGATTCACAAGAAGAACAAAGGTGGGAACAACGAGAGGGGAACATCGACGGGAATAAAGCAGCGGCTTGGCCGCTGCTATGGTGGCCGGCGTTCGACGATGGCAGCGGCGGCAGTAGCTCCGGCGACGGCTGTGGTCGAGGGTGGACAGTCTTCTTCAAGCTCCAATTTCTTCAATTTCATCTTCTTCTTCATCAATTGGTAACTCTATATTGTCATTTTTTTTCTTCTCCAATTTCTTTGTTAAAGTGTTGTTTCAATTCAAATTTACACTTTTTTTCCTTGTGTGAATTTCAAAAATTCCAAACTGGTTGGTGTTCTTTTATGGGTTTTTTTAATGTTATATTAAATCCCTTATGAATGAAATTGTTTCTTACTAGTTTCTTCAATTTTGCGCAAATTGATGTTAATTTTGTTGAATTATAAATTTGATTTCATAAGTAGGTTGGTATGTCGAATTCGGTTATAATTGAAGCTAATTTAGCTACATATTTTAGTTAAATGATTTTCGAATTCATACGTGAATCTTTTCTTGTGACTTGTGTTTTGTAAAATTTTAAGGTAAATGAATTTCTTAGCCACATAAGTTGAACATTTTCCTTAAGATTCGTTATAGAGTGATTGTTTATGTCTTGGTGTTCTTGTTTGTTATTTTCATAAAAATTGGGATTGTTTAAGCGCAATAAACAACTCTTGATTTAATGAAAATATGTAATGTTCTTTTATGTGAATAGATTACAATTCTTATGCTTCAGTTATTCAAGGAGACCTGCAAAATATTTTCATCATTAGACGTTAAAGTTTATTAAAGTGTATCAAATGTTCTTCGTGAATACTTTGTGCATGGGAGTTAGAATGAAAGAAAGATTCGCTCTTTTATAAACTTTTTCATCTTTTGGAATCATTGTTTGAGCGCTTGAGGTGAGTGGGGGTTCAAAGTAACCAAAAGGCCTTTGAATCTTTGACTCCGGGCCTTATAGAGAGTTGACGATCCTCTATATGTGGTCAAGGATATGAATCAACTCGAGCCTTTGAATTCTTTTCTATTCTTAAGTGCGTAAGTTACGTAATATATTGTATACGTGCCTATTATACGTGTCATGTTCTATTTGTGTTCGTTCTCTTTTTAATTTTGTTTTGGGTTCTTGGCGGTGTTTCTTGGGTTACCTTTGTTGGAAAAGTTGATTATCTTTTGAGATTGTTTCCCCCATTTTATCAAAAAAACCAAAAAAATAAGAAAATATAAAAAACCAAAAAATATTTACTTTTTATTCAAACCCCCCCCCCCCTTTTTGTGTTTTAAGTTATAAATATAAGTTTTTATATATTTTTTAGTATATCTTAAGTATATGTTTTATGTTTATAAGTTATATTATAAGTTCTTTGTTTATATAAGTTATATTTATATGTTTTTAGTTATAAGTTTTATCATAAGTTTTATAAGTTCTTATCATATGTGTAATTTTTTTTATTTTATTTCGTGACAATGTGTGTGCATGCTTTAACGATTTCAAAAGTACAAACTTTCTCCATGACAATGTTTTTAGTTATAAGTTTTATTATAAGTTTTATCGACCCTTACTTGCCCTAGCTATAGTTTTTATTTTATTATATATTGGGGGTTAGCTAAGGATATTTTATAAATTTTTAATTTGTTTTGGACCACACGACAAGTCCCCAACAACAATCAACCGTGCTTTGTCACGTTCTTTGGTGCCATCAAAATGAAACTTCATTTTTTAAACCCACTGGCAATCCAAAGCATGACAATGTGGAGGGAAATCAGTGATCTCTCACGTGTGATTCTTCTCCAAAGCAAGGAAGAAAATTTGACTGTCTCTTGAAGAGTTTTGGGTACACTCGTAAAATTGACTTCGGCTAGGAACGCCTTGTACCGTTCATTTAATCTATCATAATGAACGAAGTTAGTAATAGGGAATCGGGTATCTGAAGAAGAAGATTTGGTGGAAGGTGGGGGTGCCAGAGTAATAATATGTGCAGAATGAAGAATGTAATCCTAGATATGAACTAGAGGAAGATGTTCCCGGGGAGGAATTTTAAGGCGGAGAGGGACAGTCGAGACTATTGGAACTGGAGATGCTTGAGTATCTACCGGCAGACTTGAAGGCTCGACGTGCTCCAACGATAGATTTGACGGGGTGGGTGGACTGAGGTCATTGACGATGAGATTGGGTGGTGGGACGGGAGTTGGCAACAGAATGGGGACATCGTCTGGTGAGGGGCGACATAACGGCGGAGGCACAAGTGGTGGTTTAGGAACAATAAACGGAAACTCAGATTCCAAAAACGAAATATCACGGGTCTGTTTGGACATGAAACAAATCTCACAAGTATGTAGCTTTTTGACATAGGAACTACTATTATTCATATTAAAAAGGAAGTAATAGCTTGGGATGGGTGACCCAAATGCTGGTGGAGGAGAACATCAGGATCAGAGGAAGACACATGAACTTGAGAAACTTGACACAAATGAGAGATGTGTACTACATTATGCAGCTCACCCTGACCAATCTTCGTCTTCAACGTAGGGTCCTGTATTACACAACAAGGTGTTGAATATAAGTGAGCCCTAAGGGCCAACTTATGATTCCATGTCTAAATTATATCAAGAATAATAGGCCCTAAATGTTTTTTAATTCTTCTCGTGTGATTTATGAAAGGTAACCATGCAAGGATAGGCAGCAGAATACAAAAATTTTAACATCCTAACATGATTATCTTGCCCAGAATCACGTACTAAAACTTATAGTAAATAAGAAATATATACCTTTCTCCGTAAGCGGTAAAAACGAAGAAGCCGCAGGAAGAGCGTTGAAAGTGCAAACGTAACCGTTCAAGCGTCCGGTCTCCAACTTTGACACACGAACAACGTCGGAGTCTACCACAATCTTTATGCTAGTAAAGATTATAGTAGTATAAAATATAAAGATTAAAATTTGGGATAATAATAGTCTTGTATATTTCTATATAAAATATTTCTAATAATATTTAGAAAATATTATAGATATTTTCTATTCACAAATGATATTAATGGAACACAACAAGAATTTTATCTCACTAGAAAATATTATGGCCGAAATACACCATTCCATTTTTTTAAAAAAAAATCTTCACATACCCACTTTATAATCAATGTGTTCCGTGTAATAAAAAATGATTACAAAGTGATTTATTAAACTTTGTCATTAAGCTAAAGGTTAAAATTAACTTCACTTTATCAATGATTTATTTTTGATCCTTTTAAATCATTATGGCCCAAAGTTTTGATTTGAGCAAGTGAGAAGGATTTTCAAAATTCTTCTCCACTTAAATGTTCAAAGTGTATTTTATTTGACACCAAAAATTAATATAAAATTAATTTTAAATCAAATAAAAATACCAATATCATTTTAAACAAGTATACAAATATACTTTAAATAGTTTATGTCAAAATAATTATTTTCATAATTAAAATGACAAACCAAAATAAAATATTCAACATGTAATATATATATATATATATATATATATATATATATATATATATATATATATATATATTAATCGGCACATATATGTAATATATATAACCGAATATTTATATATAATATTATATTCGAAAATATTTTATTTTACTATTTTTACAAATATACAAATTACTTATTATCCCATTGTTTAATCATACTTCTTAAATTGTCCAAAGTGTGTGACCCGTATAGGCACTTATAAAGCTGGCCACAGTATTGGCTCTGCACCAATACTATAAGCAATAAGCGGTATCTAGCAACACATTATTGTCCCCAGATTATAAGTTAAGGCGTTTGCACTGTCAAAACCTTTCCACGACTTAGACTCCGTGTAACTGTATCCCTTTGTCTCAATGTCTAGACTTAATGCAAGGGATTAATAAAATCCAGCTTGTATCCATTAAGTCATTCACTGATTTATCAAGTCTGACTAATAGGAACAGACGTCATAAAAACATCTCAGCATGGCCATGCAATTTCCTCAGTCATAACTTATCAGTGGGCCCCATAAGACATTAATCTCTTTTAAAAAGAGTAGTGACAAATCCTATGTACGTAATCTACGTTTCTGAATACGCGCTGCGGCATACCCAAAACAAAGCCTGTATACCATCCTTATTTCATATGGCTTAGGACAATGCATCAAAGTATGCGGGTTCACATATGTAGAAAACATAATACTTCAAGTCGAAGGATAGTTACACCCGTGGTCGCGCTAAAGATGCCTAGAGCATGAACTAAAAGTTCAAGCAACATCTTCAGGATGGATCAGTCCGGCATCCTATTATCTCCAGATAATATCTGCCCATGTGCGGATGCGAACACACTGTCATTGACTATGAGACTAAGTCAAACATCCAACACACTTTGATGCGTAGTGAATTCCATGTGAAATATTGGTGGACGTATATTTAAGTGGAGATGTGAATGACATAGATAGAATTTATCCCCTAGTGATGTGTAATATCTTAAGGCACACTGATTGATGTGACTTGGGAAGTGCATGGCCATGCCCAAATAAATATGTTATTTGAATCCCACAAGTCCATCAAAGAGACAATAAATCATAGATTTAACTCTAACAAGGTGACACACCCCATACATTGTGTTAAATCAAAATATTAATGATAAAGGGATAAGAGTTCTACAAATGAGATATGTCGTTGAAGGAATTGTTCCGAGAGCTTCATATTTATAACTTGGGGGTGATAATGTGTTCCGAGAGTTTGATAATAGTAAATTGTTTATTATTTTATTATTAATGAGGCCCATATAGATATAAATATTTGGACATTTTAATTACTCCCTCCGTCCCCTTGTATTTGTCCACTTTCATTTTTACACACCATCTAATGCACTTCTTTAATCCATTTTATCTTGTAATTTGTATATTAAAAAATTATAAAAATTATATATTAATAATCTATATGTTAAGACAAATCAAACAAGATCACACATGACTATATTTAGGCTTACACATTGAGAGAATTTGATAAGTCAAAGTGCTTAGATGAACAGTTCCAAAAGTCAAATGTGGACGAATACAGGGGGACGGAGGGAGTATATGATAATTAAGTTTGTGAAATATTATTTAAGGTAAAAAATATAACATGTATGTGTATATATATATATATATATATATATATATATATATATATATATATATATATATATATATATATATATATATATATATATATATANTGGTGTAAAGCACATAATGATGACAGTATTTGGGCCAATTACATCAGAGACAAATACATGAGGAGGAACTCATTCCATGAAAAAATTGTGGATTCCCCAAATTGGAAAAGGATATGCAGAGTCACTCATCTAGCGGAGGAACATGCAGAACAAATTGGAGACCAAGTTTTATGGAAAGGGGGACAGTTTACACTCAAAAAGGGATACAATGCGTGTAGAAATGCAAGGAACTCACAATTAGGATACAAGCTAGCATGGCACAAGCTACAAATCCCCAAAATTAAAATTTTTCAATGGAAAATTATGCAGAACATTCTACCTTTCCCCGAGATTTTCAACCAGATTGGGTTTCACTTACCGTCGCAATGTCCACTCTGCAAAAAATGGGAAGCACAGATGGACCACACTCTACTTCATTGTGAATTCAGTGCTCCAGTTTGGGACTTCTTTTGCAACATCCTACAAGGCCCAAAACTCAGAGAAGGAATCACTCTAAGGGAACACATCTTCGAATGGTGTCTTCGTCCTAGCAATACAACAATTCGCAGCAATCTAAACGTGGTCATACCTGGTATTATTGCTTGGAGTCTATGGAAGATGTACAACGGGGCAATCTACAATGAAGAACAGCCTTCCCACCAATCGGTCCACAACAACATCACTCAAGCAATTCGACACTGGTGCTGGAATCATCGATACAAGTGCTGGATGACCAGAGATGAAGAATTATCTACCCTAGGTTATCAATCAGTCTCTCTCAATGGAAAAACACTACAGATTTTCTACAGGGGACGAACAGGGTTTGAGGATGAAGATTAGAGTGAGAGGACATTAGTTTTAACCTTCTACTCTTTATTTTCTGAAGTGTAATAAGTGTTTGTTTGTTATCTACCTTCGGGGCCTCGGCCTAATCCTCCCCGAACGTGTACTTTACTTCTCACTTAATAAAAGTTTTCTTTTAATATATATATATATATATATATATATATGTATGTATGTATGTATGTATGTATGTATGTATGTATGTATATATATGTGTGTGTGTGTATATATATATATATGTATATATATATATATATATATATATATATATATATATATATATAGGGATTGACTCCAGTGAGATGATACCTTACAGTGAGATGACATGCTTCGGTGAGATGACACAAAGCTTACCACATTACACTTCAAAGCTCACCAATGACCAATGTAAAGCTCACCTGGAAATAAAGCAAAGCTCCGGGCAAGTTGCCGGAAAATCACTTACAAGGTCAGAAATACCCCAAGCTCTTCTCTCAGCTTTTCAAAGTGCACAATACTAAAGGTGTGGGAGTTAGGGAAGGCTTCTACAATGGAGTTCCATCCATCAGCTTCTCAATTGAAGATGAAGAAAAGCTGGAGAGCAAGCTGGGGTTTTCAGCTGTAGGGAGATTCCACAAAGATCTTCATCTTTCAGTTTTAAAATTATTTTTACTCAAGCTGGGATTTGGGGCTTTCAAGATTAGAAGAATCAACTCCAAGGATGTCTTATTCACATTCAAAGCAGAGGAAGATTACATCAGATTCGTTAGGAAACATAAATGGTACGTTTATGATACATCTTTCTATGTTTTCAAATGGACTAGAGATTACAATCCCAGGGCAGATTCTCCTATTTTCCCAGTCTGGGTGTCTTTGGATCCCTTGCCTCTGCACCTCATTGACTACCAGGCACTATTCTCTATTGCTTCTCTGCTGGGTCGACCTGTTAAAATGGATGATTACACCATTAATAGAGAGAGAAGGGAGGGTGCTAGAATATGCATTGAACTTGATTTATCAGTCTCACCTCCACCAAAGCTTCATATCTGAATGGGGGGAAAAGATTTCTTTACCAACTGTTCGTATGAGGATAAGCCACTTTTCTGCAATCCTTGCTCACTCTTGGGTCATAAGGAAAGCCAACACAATGATGCTCAAAAATCTCAGGATACCGGAAATCTTCCCTCCGGCAAGGTTTCAGGGGGCACTGCCAAAGGGAATGGTGAACAATGGCAAACGGTCAAAAACAAGAAGACAAAAGTACAACTCCAGTCACAAGCAGACAGAACCAATGGAAAAACAGTGCAGCATGGGCCCAAAAAATTTGAGTGGAAAGCTAAAAACACTAAACTCCATCCTAATAGGTTTTCCCCTCTAAACCTGATGGATAACACTGTCACACAGTTGGGCCCAACCATAATGGATCCCATGCAGCAAGAGTCCCCATCCTGTCAACTCTTGGATTTACAACCCCTGGTTAGTACCTCCCCAGGAGAAAAATCCTCCTCCTTTTTTCCCTCCCTCCAGGAAGCAAAGGAGTATTTCTACAAGAAAACAACCTACATGAAGGATAAGCCACAACAGGTGAAAGGTGATAGGAAAAATACACCTTTTATGGGATCAACATACTCATTGGATGACTGTCTTCATAATCTTTCCCCTGAAAAAGGTTTAGCAATGTTAGTGGAAGAACTTCAACATTCCACCCAAACAGAAGATGAAGAAAATCATACAGAGATGGTCAGGCACTCAGATGATGATGAAGTTGAATATGTTAGAGACTCATCAGAGCTAAAGCCACAAAGCTTTAAAATACCAGAAGTTAATGCCATTCCAATCTCTGCCCCCAGGAGGAAGAAAAACAAGAAGGATGGACCCTTAATGACGATTGTTACAAGAAGTCATAAGGGCCATAAAGACTTTAAGTACATTAGTCTTTAATGTTAGCCCTCTTTTGGAATGTTTGTGGAGTTAGATCCTCTCGTAAAAGGATCAAAGTATATAAAAAAGAACACAAAATCATCTTTCTTGCCATTATTGAGCCTATAGTTTCAGCCTCCCAGATTGGTAAATATGGTCTAGATCTGGGATTTAGTAAATATTATGCTTCTTCAAATAACAAAATATGGGTCTTCTGGTCAGACATTCATCTTACCTTATCCAATATTGAGGAGGATGTTCAGTGGGTCAACTGTGATCTTATGGACACCATCACAAAGGAAAATCTTAGAATAACAACTGTCTATGGGAGACATACTGGTCAGGAAAAGAGGGAATTATGGGCTGGATTAGTCAAGCTCATCCCTATAAGTAAATGGATTGTGGGGGGAGACTTCAACACAGTTGCAGACTACTCAGAGCATGAAGGCAAAAATCATCCCAACGCTAGAGACATGGAGGAATTCAAAGCTTGCATCAGCTGTTGTGGTCTCACTACTCCCCACACAATAGGTTCTTTGTTTACTTGGTCGAGTAATAGAAGTAATGGCAGGGTCATGAGGAGACTTGATAGGGTTTTGGTCAACAACAAGATGCTGGAGGAATTTGAAGATATCTCTATCATGCATCTTAGCAAAACATCCTCAGACCATAAACCCTTACTCCTCCAGTGTAAGAAGGAACCTTTGGGAGGCCTTAAGCCATTCAGGTTTCTAGATGCCTGGCTAAACCATCCTACTTTCCTTAAAGTGGTTACAGACTC